CATATTCTCAAACATCTGCTTTTCTTTCAAACATTTAATATCTAATTCATGATTTTATACGAATTGCACTCCTTATTATTGCAGACAGGTTGTTTCGGCTTATGTTTTACTGGTTGGTGCCATTATTCTGACAGCAAACACCCAAAGTATATTTTTGATTTCTTTGCCTGGAATAGTTTTTTTTTGCATTTCATAGCAGTTTCATTCTTAGAGCATTTGAAAAATTCATGAATATTCAACTTTTATGTTTCAAAATTTCTAAAAAATTTACCCACATACATATAGTGAAGTGTGCTCTTCTGTCGTCACATTCAGGGCATATTGCTTCCTGGAAGTACCTAGAATTGCAGAGTTCAAAAATCTTGCCGCCGCGAATTCTTCCGGTATATTCCAATTATGCGAATTGTGAATAACCACAATGCTAAGAAAACGCAACCGGAACCACATTGATTAGGGTGGGTTGATTAGAGGCGTATGTATGTATATCTACATGTAATATTTATTAAAATAATAGACCGGAAAATACGCCAGCCCATAGGTATTTCAAAACTACGCAAAACACACGATCTACATTAGTAATGAGCCTTTAAACAACTATATACATTATGACAATTGTTGAGTTTTCTCTTTTTTTTTATCTTATTTCATTTTTTGAGAAGCATATACGTTTTCGGAAACAACACCTATTCAGTTTTCGCATTCAAAGGGTTGAGAAAAACAATTTTAAATATTACTTTTGGTGAATAGTCTTCCAGAATGCTTATCCACGAAGCAGACAATACTCCTCACAATTTTTTTCTTCGCGTTCGATGAATTCAAAATCTAAAATTCGCCCAAATACAAACCCACACATGAGATCAATGAATAGATTTCTACTAAGACGGTTTTTTCCTAAACTGATATCCAGTTGAGTGGTTTAATTCTTTTGATGAACCATTTTAGTTTCTAGCAAGGCTATTCCCAAAAGGAAGTCAATTTCCAAAAATAAATTCTGCTTAAACAACGAACTTCCAATTTTTTTGAAGACTTTTTCATGTTGTGAATGCTTAAAATGCTTTCTGACCTCACCATTTTTTTTTGACCCAATGCGAAGATTAGGGTGTTTCGACATATCAAATTAGTCTCATATCCAACGCAATTCAAATTTCATTTTCCTCTCTGTAACACCCATAAAACTCAGTACGGAATTTTATTTGTGTTGTTATAAATCGAACACGATTTAATTTAATTAAAAATTCATTAGGAAAACCATGGCTTTACGTAAAATCACGCTCGTAATGTAGGCGATTAGATTCAAAATGCACATAATTAGGAGCATCTTCAATGGAATTCCACGCATTCTTTGTACTCACTTATTTTTTTTTTGGTCTTATATTTTTAGCAAAGATGAAAACACTTCGAAATCGAATTGAATACGAATAAGAAGAATTTATTTTCGGTTGCTTATGACGACTCGACTAAAAATTGATTTATAACGACTGTCTTTGACGCGTAAAAGATGTTCTCGATAGAAGCATGTTTGAAAAGACATCTATTTTTTTTATTTTCAATATTTGCAATTTTGCTTATTTGAAAGATATACTTACATATGTTAACCACATGTATGTTCGCTATTAACATCGCTTTCGTCCCTTCAAAAACTCCAAATCACGTGGCATTTTGAAACCAGTCGAATATTTTTTGTTGGCAATTGACGAAATGTCTTAAAATTTTTATAGTTAGTTTGTTAAATCTTAAAATATCCGTGTGTAGTGCTATTTTGATTACTTTTTCGTCACGAACTTCATAAAATTTTTATCCTTTTTGATCGTTGCTAAATTCTTGTTTATATTCTGATACTTTATGATTCCAAACTTTAATATTTTTTCTAATAATTAGTATTTACTTCAACTACAATTTCATCAATGAGTTCTACGAAGTTCAGTAATTTTAACTTATGAATGTTGTATTCGAATTCTCAAAAAAAGAAAACAAAATTTTCGGGTAAAATAAATTGCGTAACCAGATTTTTATTAATTGTTTTATTATATATTTTAAAGTCGTGGACAGTAACCCACTCCTACAGTAATCCTGGTATAATATGTTATGAATTATTTATTTTTGCATATCGCAAATGTGCAAATGTGGATAATAATTTAACAGTGGATAAAGCATTTTAATCCTCATATGTCTTACTGACGTCAACATCTACTACCATACTCCCATAAAAGTAATTAAAATAAACATTTATGCGGCATATAATGCATTTCAAAGAATGCACTCAGGGGCACAATTAAACATCAGCCTAATGGTGTTTATTCCATATTTAATTGAGCAACTTGCGTACCAGGCGAAAGCTTTATATATTGGATGACCCACCCATTTCATCGAAGCATAATTGAGCAAAGCGAAAAATCCGTGATATTTTCGGCATTGGTTTCCCTATGGAAGACAATTATGTAAAGGCAATTAAGCTATACGTTACGTTTTTTTGGCAATGAGCTTGACAAGAATACTAACGAATGATTCATCTTCTGCTTAGTATACGATTTCTGAGCTGAATGTTTATCCCATTTCATGGTTTCATTTTTTTTTTATCCACGTTTCTCATCATTTTCAGTTTTATTACTATTTGCAACGAATTTTTTCGAAACTCAAGTCTTCATAAACATATCTGAAATTATTGTAACGTCATCTGGAAAAAAATGATTAGTGACCCTCAATATATTATGTTGCTTGCATAAATTTGTTCGATCCTTTTTAACTCATCAGTCTTCGAAACTCAATTTTTCTCCAATATCAACTTAACAAAATTCGTGTTATTGGCAAACATACATTTGTTTTCAACAAGCATTTACTATTGACATTCGTTCTATATTTTCTTATCAATTTACTTTTCTGAGAATGCAATTGTCTACTATTTTTAATTAGAAAAATATTGGTATGTTTTAATGAATAATACAATTTCAATTTATTTCGTTTTGTTTTTTCATAGTGCCTTTAAACCGTTAAGGTTGACGTTTAAGTTATCATTTTTACAAGATAATACTAAAATCCAATCGAAAACATTGTCAGATAACGGTTTCTTGTGTTTCAAAATATAATGGATAATATCTCAATAGCAATAGGCCCCATTAAAATTTGTCGGTAAGCATTTAACTGTGAGACCTCAAAAAACGCTTTTTTCTTACAACGAAGTGCAATACAAATATTTTTTAGTTATCTTTAATCCTTTTTATTATATCCAATAAAATGTATTTCTAATCATGTGAATCAGGGGCTAAAAGTATTTCTTTTTTAAGCGAAGAAATTAAACAATGTTTCGATTTGCTCATATATTTCCTGCTTTAAACGGGTTTTTAGTGTGATTTTCGACAATAAATTCATGTTACATAAATTGTGATGAATTATAAATACCGTATTCTTTCATATGTAATAGCCATTAGCAACTTGTATTTTTCATTCAAACTTATTTGTTTTTCTTTGTGTCTTTCTCTTATAAATATCATTGCTTACTTATAAGCGTGATACTTATATGAAGAAATTAAATATATATATTACCTTGGTTAGCATTTGGTACGTGAAATAATCAAAATGTTTGGAATACAACATTTTTAAATAAATGCCGATTATTTCACATTTGCTCGCGTCACACTTAATGGGTATCTAATTGGCTTTGCCGTTAACGGATCACCACCAATTTTCTATTCTGTGTAGGCGGTTTCATATTATGAGAGAAGCACGTGATACCGCGCTAAATAAAATTCCATTTTTCTACCGCTCATAAAATTGGTGTTTAAGATAAATTCAGCATTTCAGAACCACAAATCCTACAATTTTCATGAAAATATTTATAAATGTTTCATAAGTGTATTAAAAGTTTTGTTTTTTTTTTTTTCAATTTTTTTAAAGTAATAGTAAAAAATCGGAAAATACGGAAATTCTTAAAATATTTTTCAGTTTTCAGAATTGATTTTAAAGAAACAAAATCCGGGAATTCATTTTTGCACTCTTATCAATCTTCAGAACCTGACAAGGACAAATATAGTTTACAAAAACGTGAACTCCAGTTACCAAAAAATTCTATTAACTTGAATGTAATTTTCCATTTCTCCCACACTTGTTTTGAAAATAGTTTTGTTTCACAGCTTAAAAATTGGTTGTATTAATATCTTAATTTCGTGTGAATATCGCATTCAACATTCTAAGCAAATGTAATAAGAAATGAAATCATGTATTATTATTTTCTTGTCGATTGTTTTCTAACCAATTTTCTTTTAGTTAGTATTTCATCACATTCAATTCCTCGTTTTGAATTATTTTTAAGGAAGGTCAGTAACATTTACTTTTTTTTTTGGATACACAAAAAAAAACGCAAATTGTCGGGCACTTTAACATCATTTCAGTTTAAAGGTCGTTTAATCGAATTTAAATTTTAATTGTGAGATCTCGGGTACCGTTCTACGGATAACCTGCGAAACAAACACGCCGTAAACCAAATCGGCGCAGGGTGCTCATTTTTTTGCGATTGTAATGTTCTGTTAGCTATTAATCAAATCATCAATTTACTCATCCTTTTTTAAGTATAAATAATTTAGACAAATTTCAAATTGATTGAGGAAATTTTATATGCTCGAGGTGGATTCAAATGAGAGGGTGATTTCGAGCTTCTACGTTTGCAAGTAGAAACGTCCCCTACCTCTCCCCTCTCCATTTCTCTCTTTTGTCTTTAAAAACCGATATTAATCATACTTAAAAAATTATTCATCTATACTTATACTTAAGCGCCACTCTTTTAGCACCAACCACAGTTTTATTCCTGAATTTTCTTTCAAATATAGAATCCCACAATTACGTACTTTCAGTGATTGCGTAATGCAATTACTTATATTGTTTTGAAGTCTTTCTCTTTTTCCGGAATCAAAAATGAACTTTCATTCTTATTGCGAAGTTTTTGCAGCTGCTTCATTTGATATTGTACACCAAATGATTTATAGGACTAAACTTCCGTTTCTCGGATAATGAATAATACCCGGAGCAAAATGAGCGCAATGCTATGCGAAAATGTTGATATGCTGGTGACAATGTCTGCGATTACGATGACAGTTCTATCGGGCATCGCGCTTGTTGTGAACAGCTATCTGCTCTACGTATGTTATTCTTTTTGAAGGTTTGCGTTTTTCATATGATCTTTTAGTGCTCACGGTATTTACGACGACCTATTGGAATTAATTTACGTCTGTGTGTCAGTTTGACGGCATCGGACGCTCTTTGCGCAATTTGCTACATTCTGACATATTTAGTTAATATCTTCTTTAACCATTTCTCAAACTGCGCATCCCTTCTACTCGAGGTTTGAATATATAAACAATTGTTCAATAAAAGTAATGTATTCTAGGTGTTTAAATTAACTACTTTTACGGCATCGGTATTCACTCTCCTCTTCCTTGCATTAACTCATTACGTGGGAATAGTTCACCCATTGTATCGAAATGCAATCACGAATCGGTCTGTGAAATGCGCTATAACATTTTCGTATGCGGTACCATTTGCTCTCTACTTGGGAATCTTCTCATTATTCCCAGGAGGTAATTGAAGACTATAAGTATCAGTTTTTTTTTCTCACTTTCTTTATTCAGGACTATTTGCACCTGAAGCATTCTCATTTCTCGACGGAGAAGGTTGTAAAGGAAACCAAATTTACAGTAAGAAAAAAATGTATTATAGATTAAAGATAGAGCACAATTGAATTACAGGAAATAGTGCGTTCCGTTTCTCCCTTGTTGCTCCTTTCATTTTCTTTGTGTGCCTGCTCTCAGCTCTTTATATGCATATCCTATTCCATATGCATCAATTATCTCGTGACCCACTGTTGAAGAACAGTAAAAGTAAACGAAACAACAGAAAGCTTTTGACGACAATCATGCTTCTCGCGGGATCCGCATGCATAGGTATACATCATTGTTATCGAAACTGAAATCATAATGAGATGACGCCATGAACTCGTTTCTATTCAATAAAACCGGAGTTGATAATCTCAGGTCCTCACGGGTTTCAGTTTTTTCCGTGTATCGTCGAGCCAGTCAGCCACCAAAATACGGCCGTAAACAACGATGTGTCATGGTTTTTTAAAAATTTTCTTATATTTTTCGTTGTTTTCATCTTTTGATTTTGATTTTATTTTTTTTTTCTCGTTATTTTATCCTTATCTAATGCTTTTTTGCAGAAACATCAAGAAGTAGAACAATACAAGGAGAAGAAATTCTCTACGTGAAATGCCTCCAAGTCACTGAATTCAATTATTGTTTTTTAAATACTTACAAGAAAAACCCACGAAAAAGAAATCAAATATGTATCTTTCAATCGTTGAAAATATTTTTTGTATTTTAGATGGATCGAAAGAAACACTTTAGGGAAAACACAAATTTTTGCTTTTCTTATTTGCTACCACTGTTTCTCATAGAATTCGTAAACGTTGCGTTTAAGATTAAATTCCCACGTTCCCTCATTTTTTTATTTAGTGTTTTCAGTATTTTAATGTTCTCATGAATTATTTTCTCAATAAATTCCTTTTTTGGTGTAGCTACTTTCATATTTCTTGTATTTTCTGCGATTCTCTTACAATGTACATTATTCGGACATGAGGAAGCGTCGACAGCAACGCATTATTCGTGTAGAGTACAAATATGATACTTTTCATCCTGCGACATCCATGTCTTTTGTCGCAGTTTATGTGAGTTCAACATTATTGTGCCAATAAAATACGCGGGTCCTTAAACACTCAAGGGCCTCGTTTTTTTGCGATGGTAATAATTCAAGACGCGTTAGATCACTATGTGATTTTCATGAATAATGCTTAACTATGCGTGGGATATGTAATATTTATTTCGAGACAACTTCGACGAAATCCTTCAGTTCAATTGCGAATACATTAAAACGCTTGAATTGATAATTGTAAAAAACATAAATTGTGAATGTAAATTTATAATTGTGATTCGAAAAGGCAGTGAATAAGCTACTTTAGTTATTATAGTGTTCTGAAAATTAAATTGAGTCTTCTTAAAAAAGGAACATATTGAAAATGTCTCATTAAAGGATGGCTTCCAACTTCGGTCAACTTTGTTCTTCCGATATTCGTTCAAATTGATCCGAATGCTCGTTTAGTCCTTGGGTTGGCAAAGAAATTCAAATATTCTGAGAATTCCTTTAATTTCAGTATCATTGCCCAAACATTGCATGTTTCCAAACTGATTGCTGATGCATTCGTTTATGCGAGCCGGTTAGTTGAGATTCGCTATTCGATGTGAATTGTCAACACACGCGCCATCGAAAAATGTAAAATTTCCAGATATTGGAAACGAGAACAAAGACACACTCGAAATACCGCGAGAGTTCGTACGTTATTTGAGTGAGACCAAGGAGAATAGATCTGTTCGTTCGAAGCGGGTCAATCAGGAGTTTGAGACATCCAATAACTGCAGTACCCCGCTACAAAAGAGACGGTTTGCCTCTGAACGCCAAAACAAGTCTGTGAAAGCAGACGTAAGAAATGAGAACGAAAATATGGTAATGATAATAATTGTTATTTTATTAATAATAAATATTGTATATCAACAAAAAATACTCGGTCAGTTTAGAGTATGGAGGTTATTTTTGCAGATCAACAGATGTCAAACTCATAGAAGCGTGAAACTGACGAAATCTACACCATCACCATGTTCGGATGTTCCCTCAAAAAATATATCAGAAATCAACACATCAGTGAACGCATAATTCCTTCATTCCCAATATATTTTGTTTGTTTTCAACGTGATTTCCCAATGTCTGATCTGACAAATAAAAAAACATTTGACCTAAACAAAAAAGGAGTGGTATAATGTGTTTTAATGTCATGCCCTCGTATAAAAACATGCCCTCTTTCTAATGAAACCAAAAAATATGTAAATTTGGTTTCTAGTTTTCAGAAAATGGATGCATAATATTGAATTAAAGTGTTTCTAAATATCACCATTTTCCATTTTCGGTTTTTATAATTATATAGCAGTCTTGTAGGCGATTCTGTTTCTATTTATCTCCATTTTTAGTTCAGATTATCTCTGATAAACGCATAACTGTCTTTATCTATTTTGATCCCGATTTTAAGTATGTATAAGAATTAAACGCTACTATTCGAAACATTGTAACATTTGTTTGAATAACCTATTGATAAAACATTCCTGTTAAATTAAAATAAGTAAACGAGAGGCAAGTAAAAAGAATAAGTATTGAAAATTATAATAACTGGATATATTAATGAATAAAAGTTATAATCATATTAGGTAAATTCTAGGGAGCTGATTATGGTGTATTTAATTAATGAATCTAATTTAAATAATTTCTGTCGGAAATTATCTGCATAATCTAAACCAAATAAACTTCTGTTGTCTAGAAAGGATAATAAAAAATAGTTTTTTAAAACCATAAACTGAAAATTTTTAAACCTATTATTTCAAAAACGACAAATAATCATTTTTACATAAATTAAATACTTCCAATAAAACTAAATACATAGTATATATAACTCGTTCCACTTTACTTAAATGTTCCATCTAGACAGCATTCTCTCAAAAATTATTCATCGTTTACGTGATATCTAGATCATCTTGGATTAACTCTTGAGTAGAATTATGTAAAATAGCACAAAAATTATATTTTGCTCAATAATATTGTTATGTTTTGTTCACAAATGTAATTAAAACGTTACATTAGAATTGAAAATTACCATTCGGCATCTAAAACTATCTTGGAAGAAGTAATAGTAGTTATGAAAAAAATCGCAACAAATTTTTCGCCATAAAATAAATTAGAAGAGGTCGCAAGCTGTTTTAGTGAAAAAAATTAGGGTTAAGAAAATTTTAACCATTAACTGAAATCTAAAATAGCCCCTTTTCTGCTGTTTTATGGCAAAATTTAATCAAACACCAAATCTATTTGTTTAAACGGCATTTATCTTCAGCAATGGGTTTGTGCGAAACCCTTTACTTTAATTACAACCATACTAGTGTCCTATTGATTTTTGAAAAAAAAAAGGCTTTTGAGTCATGTAGATGTAGAGAAAACCAGATAAATGGTTAATACCTATTTTGGAGTAGCAATTTACATGATTTTCGAATTAGAAGATTGAAGGAATTTTGGAATGAATAATTTCACTAGGAATATTATACTTGAATTTGCGGTCAGCCAAAATATATGTTACCTCGAAAAAGAAAAAAGTTTACAACATTCATTAATGCGCTAAATTTTTAAGTTAAAGACTACCGTTTATGGAAAATTCATAAGAATCAAATAACTACATATTATTTTCAAAAATTATATTAGAGCGCATTTCAAATTTTCCATTATTTCTTGAAATACATTTTTTTTCAAATCGTCCTCAAGATTTTTCTCGTGACACGAAGAACATAATAATTCGAGAAGTATATGAAATAATACACTATAATAAGCCGAAATTATGCGCCCAGAAAATGGTTCTCAATGCAAAGGGAATCGTCAGAAATTGGCCCCTATCTACTCGTGTGGCCCCCACATTTCCACACCGTTTCCAGTTTCTCGGATAGTTTCTCTTGCATATTTGAGTTTTCTCCAATTTTTCGTTTACTGTAGCTCGGCAGTTCGCATATAGTCTTACTCCAGTCAAACAGTTCGACATTTCAGAATCGCCTTGAGCTTTTAACACTAAATGTGGATCAAGTGAGATGGATATAACATCGACGTTGGCCAATATTCTTTTTGTCACTACGACACCTATACCATCTGTGCAAACTCCTGGAACAACACCGCAGCCGATAGTGCCAGAACTCGAAGAATGCTACAACGACCCAATGTTTACCATATTCACATATACGGTGCGTCTTATTTTTTCGATTGTGTAACGGATAAAATAAAGCGAACCGTAGTACTAAATACCATTAAAGAAAAAATCAAAATTATCACCAAATTTGTGAATATTTTGTGTGAGCGCGTTGCTCATTATCTGCAAGTTTGATTTTTATTTTTAGACCATTTGAATAATAGAAAAAATAGTACGAAACTTCAAGCTCCCTTCCAAACATACAAAATTTTAAAAGATTGATCCACATTGAGTTCAACTATGTCAAAATAATATCGTTTTGCTTCCCGAAAATTCAAAGTTAAACATAAACATTTTGTTTGTTGATGTGAGTAGTTCCATTAGCGATAGCTCACATCATATTATATTCTCAAAGAATGAAATCAAAAAAAATCGCGTTTAATAAGATGACAAAGCAAAGAGACATTTTTTTAAACTTCGATTCCAAAGAATAAGTATCGAACGTCCAAGAAATAATAAAACAAATGTGCCATCACGAAATGGTCACGCAACCGCGACACAAATGGAAATGGGATCAAAGAAAACAAATATTACGAGAATTGTATTTATTGGAATGAAAATAATTTGTAGAAGTATAAAGATTTATTATTTTTTTCATAATTTATTTCATAAGAAAAGAAAATTAGTGGAAATTTTTAAATTTTAAGCAGAAATCTTTAGAAAAATATGCTAATTTCTTCCATGAAGCTTGATTGTTAATCATTTTGAATAAGACATGTAAGAGTGATTTAAAAAATTGAGCAAAATCATAGAAAGGGAATTTTGAACTTACACATGAATTTCTTAATTGAGATCAATGAAACAAAAAAAATATAGAAATAAAATCTAAATCGATTTTGTTACGAATTTGAGTGTAAAGGCAATAGAACACATGCTTCAAATGAAATATCACATGATATCATTTGAAGTGCAATGTTTAAATTTATTTATGTTGAAATTTGATTCATTTTACGTGGACTATTTTATTTTGTTATGGAAAACGAATGACCATTCAAAATGCGAATTCTTGCTTATATTGAAACCATTCTGCTGGATCTTGATTAATCATAGTTCAACGTGATTTATTGTTTACGGTGTTTTCACAAACATTGCCAATCATATGATGCACATGACTTGTATGCTGCATATTGAGGTCGATGACATGCTTCTGGCAGCGAGTATGGCAGCGACAGTATTTAACGTGATGGTTATATTTTGCGCAATAAAGCTGTTCAAAAGAAGCGGGGATACAATGCATTTGTTCATTCTGAACATGACCGTCGGAGATCTTGTTTTAACAAGTACGATTCGCTACTTATCATTAATGAATTACAGTTCATTTTCAGTTTTCTGTCATCCAAATGAGCTCCTAATTCGAAAACACGATTTTTTGCAACAAAAACACCTCTGCGCAGTGGTTCATTATTTCAATTGGATTGGATTAGCAGTTTCAGGATTGTCGTTAACATTGCTAAACGTAGACAAGGTATAGAATCACATCAATAACAAATATGCTTAATTCGTCATTTAATTGTAGTTGATTTATTTCCGATGGCCGTTGAATTACGACAGATCAATGTCGAAGCGTCGAGCAGCGATGTTCTGTTTAGCAATATGGGCGGTATCAATTGGGTATTCAAACTCGTCTTCTCGTTATAAATTCAACTTTTTTCAGATTTGTTTCTTATTGCTGGCTCTTCAATATTGTTTACATATTCCATCAAGACTGCTCATTACAGGTTTGTCATTTTTGAAATACCACGTTTTAATAGATTTCAATGAGACGTGTTTTACAGGCTACTTTGTTAATTTCTAAGCGGGTAAGATTGTGTGACACTTCACGTGTGTGACACTTCACCTAGCTTTTTTACAAATATCGTTTTAAGCACGAAAAAAATCGAAATCAATTTTCAGATGACTCCAACGAAAAAGTTCTATTACGAAATATTCACGATGTTGTTCTGCGTTCTCCCAGTCACTTCTTCCTTAATTGTCTCCATATATTTATTTAATCTAACAAGAAAAAAAAGAAACTCCGAAAATAGTGGCGACTCTAGTGCATTCAAAAACAAGGTTTTTACTCATTAGCAATCAAATTTAATATATTAATTTTTTTCAATTATTTAGGTAAAATCTCTTGCGTTTATATTTGCGACAACAACATGGACATCATGCAGTCTTCTTCCTTATAGAATAGTGAATCTCGCACGAATTCATTTGTTCACGTAAATAATTTTTGAGTATTCTCTTTTATACAATAAAATTTCTAGTTGGTCCGAACTGAGCTGCGAAGGAAAACAACGAATGAATTGGATTGCCTGGGTTCTTGTCTATCTACTGACATTAAATCCGGTATGTTGTTTTTTTTTTGAAAAACAATTATAAAAATTATCTTCAGATCATAAATCCACTCATTACTTCTTTGATTTATGCTCCATATAGATTAACCATCAAAAAATTCCTGGTGAACATTCCCGTGGGAAACCGCCCCCTATACTCCTACCAACCAGATGGCCTTCAATCCGACAGCAGTTTCGTTTCTGTTCGCAGAAATCGCAACAGACGGTCGTCCTGCACCGAGCTTGCAAGCCTTCGACAATCAACAGAAGTAAAAAAAAACAAAAACATACTACTCATAAAATGAAATATGTATTTTGTAGGTCGTGCGAATTTCGATGAGCGAACCTCCAACAACTCCACTTAAATCTGACGACAGTTTCTTTTTCGAATCGAATTCGCCGCTTGAGAAGAAGCCTCCAAAAAATTTTAACTCACCTTCTTAACGACCCTAGCCACTACAAAATTATTCACGAACTTTAGAAGATCTTTTTCCAATTTTTGACTGCTTACTAAACTCTCACTTGCAGCTTTTTCTAACCTGATGGCTTCTATAATAAAATGTCTTTATTGAATAAAATTGTTGCATATCTAACTAAGTATCAATGAAATTGTTGAATGAATAGAAACATTTAGATATGAAATTGAAAATGGGAAACAAATTTAGTATGAGAAAATTGAGTGGAACGGAGATCCGTAGAATTTTGTTCAAATTATTCATATCAAATCACTTTAATATATCATGTAAAATTTTTTTTGGGTTTTATTATATTATGCAATTTTTTGAGAAATTGAAAAATAGAAATCAAAAATGGCTATGAAAAAAAGAATAAAAAAAAATAAAACAACAGACTGGAGTTTTTTGGGGATATATATTAAAGCGTATACTTGTTTCGGAATTTTTAAGTTTCGAATGGAGTCATTTCAGTAACCTCATTTTCTTCTTCACTTTCAACATCGAGAACAGATAAAGGATCCATTAATACAGTTGGATGTGGAGCAGGCGAGCAAGACCCGTGAGACCGAGCTGTGTACATTTCGAGGTCTGTACTGGTAACTGATCGACGGGCACGAGTTATCTCTGGTCTTGAACTTTCAGGTTTACTGAAATGAAACAGAACGATCGAAATTGTATTTTCAACTTACTCAAAGGATTGAAGCGGCATTGGCGGAACTGGGCTAACTCTTCGACCCATCATCATTTCCACGAGAAGATCCATCTTTTTATCAATCTTCTCAACCTGAAATCATTACTTCTGATATAATCCTTCCTTAAAAATGTTTTTTCATTAATAAATACCAATCCGAAATCATATTATTTTTTTATTGTTTTATGGATTCCTCGAATTTATTTTTGACATACCGTGGTTTCCAACATTGCCAATCTAGTATACATGGAGGTCTTCGTTTCAAGCTTATCCGAATTTTTGCCGCAAATGATATCGAGCCTAAAATTTTACAAATTTGTGAGTTAGCGAAACATTTTCAGACTTTGATTGAACAGTTTTGACACGACTTTGTAAGTCGACATGCCCGGCAGAATACTGCTCAATGACGTCTTTTACATCATACGGCTTCAAGGCCTCTTTGAATTTTTTGCGAGCAACTAGGAGTTGTATTCTTCGAAGAGCACGAATACAGTTCTTCATAACTGGAGTAATTTCTTCGATGGAGTAAGGCTGAAATCCGATTGTCTCCTCTTCTGCAAAACAAAAACGATAATCTTTATAAGATTTATAGGTAAAATTCCAATTCCACCCAACTACTTTATCTATATCCCAAAATTTATTAGACGTGTTAATCCTAAAACATTAAACAATTAATTTCGCTCAACCAATAAAAGTTCATTACAACCTAATCCATACTCTATACTCAATTTGACAAAAATACAGCTTCACTCATTATTTACTCTACTTGAAAATCATGAATAAAATAAAATCGACATTTAAAATTGTTTTTAAACGCAAAGTAATGACAAAACTTATTAGTATGGTATTGTTGCGTTAAGTATCATCGGGTCAATTTATTAGAGCCTAACAAGCTATCTGGTTAAAGAAGATAATTTTATCGGTAATTTACAACCAAATCGATTTTCATGCAAATGTTCAGCGAATTTAACTCATGGTTTGAACATAAAATTGACATTGAATCGATCATAAGCCGTCTCACCATCGACGTCAGACACGTCGTCGGGCCTTCTCGTTGCACATGTTGTTAACTGAGTCAATTGACTCCAGACACCGTCTTCAAACGGATTGTTCCGTTTTTTTCCAAGTTGCTCAGCCCATTGGTAAATCGGACCGATCATCAACGAGTAGTCTCCAATAACTTCACCATCAGAAAGTGGAGCCCGCGGAGCAGAAGGCGATTGTTCGTTGGAGGGGTTCGTTGAAACATTTGTAGCTGGATTGTAGCTAGCTCCATCGCGACTCAATGATGCAGAGCGGCGGGAACGACGTCTTCGATCTACAGACACACTCATGACCATATGTGATTTGACTACGATGTAAATGAAAAAACAAAAAAGCAGTGCTAAAGGAAGTTTATTCAACTTGCAATAGAGAAGTTTGATATACGTTATGTTACAGTAGTGAAGCTGTACTACACGTAGATTAATATTCTAGATTATTGATGTTTTGATTGATGTTTATGTGATCTAATTTTTTAATAAAAAAATCTATAGCAATTTCTGACACAGAAAACAAAAATTCACGATTTTCTAACTCCCTAATCCATTTATATATTTGTTTTTGTGTATGGGTATCAAAAACTATGTCATTCAAGTTAATGTTTGAGATTTGGAGAAGTACTAGTTGGAGGTTGGCGTGAGAAAGATAGAAGCTATCACGAATCACAAAGATTTTTTAACCCCCATGCAATTACCATCAAAAGTGGCTAGATTCGATTGATTCGTTTGTCTCATTTGAACAATCGTATCATCGATTGCTTTACGGGATCCATACTTGCTGCTTTTTGATTTGAAACCTAGAAATTACTCTCTTCAAACTGTTTTAATAATTAACTGCACCAAGTGAGAATCCAAGAGCGCCGAGTTGCTCAATTTCAGAAATATCGGAAGTAGAAACGAGACTGAAATCATCGATTCCCGACAAATCCCTCACATTTCTTATACCTGATATTGTCATGCGGACGAGGAACTTGTAAGCTTTTCGATGAGCTTGCGACATTTGGATATAAATTTTGGTTATTATTGCTGGGGCCGCCTACAAATATTGTCGGATATGAAAGACAAATATAGAAATTGATTACGTTTGGTGCTTTGACGTAAGCGATTAATCAGACCAGTTGAATTGCTTCCGTTTGGGGTGAACTTGACACTGAAAATAACTAATGCCCAACTCTTTTAATCAATACATTTTTGCTATCTGACGTTATTCTGCCCAGACCAATCAACGTACGTGCGCTAGGCAAAATTTAAATTTTTTTCCGCATTTTAACTAAGATGAATATTTTCGAAACGATTAGTCATTAATAAATTTGTTTCATGAAAAATTGTACTATTTCAAATTCAAGAGTACATTTCTCAGTGATAACACAGAAAAATTCGAAAAGCTAATAAGTGACTCTCCAACAAAAAATTTGAAATTGTACATTGGAGTTGGTTCTCTTGCCAAGTGAATTTTCCAGGTTGCTAAGGACGTAGACTCCGGTTGTGCGCAATAATGCCGCCACATGCATTGAATCAGCCGTGCGGCCGGCACTCGACGTCGAATTAAATGTTTTTGTCGTTGATGTTGTTGCACTTTTAACGCGAATCCCGAGCCGAGAATTCCCTGCAAATAGCCGAATGGCGGACATTAAATTAAAACGCTCATTTTCTTGCTCACAGCTGGTAATGCAAAAAACGAAATGCCAAGAAGTGCACAAAATGCCGCAATAATTTTTCCCGGCCAAGTCTCCGGCGTTTTGTCTCCGTATCCCACGGTCGAAAGAGTGATCTACAGATTTCGGCGAGATTCTCATTGAGAAAAAGTTTTGACGCTCTTACCACACCCCACCACAAGGCGTCAGCAAATGTTTGATATTTGTCATTTGTGTTTTTCTCACATAAATAAACTAAGAACGAAGAGAATATAAGCCCCAAAAATCCAATGTATACAGTAGTAAGGAGCTCCTGAAAAAAAACGTATTATAAAAGTGTCATTAAAATGATAAACTGAAAATAATCAACAGAATTTCAAGAAATTAGATTCTGTAATAGCAATAATGTATATATAAAAGCCTAAAATCAATTAAAAAATGTATTTTACACATCATATGCAACATTTTGCTATACTCGAAGTTTTTGTAGAAGTTTGGAAAAACTATGCAAATAACGTTTGACATTTTCATCAATCAAGATTAAAAATATGCCGACTTGTAATAAAAAGGATATATGACAGGCATAAACTAGAGATAAACGCAATCTTTATTGCCTATCTAAAGTTACTTGATCTCTAGCCGATTTGAGTAATAAAAAATGTAGGCATTCTGCACTGTTTGTATATCACCGTACATGTCATTATTATTACATATAATCAATAATTAATTTTCTTTGTATTCTCTTCTCGAAACAATGAGTCGACATTCGGTGATTCTTCTAGAACCTAATTATGCGCTGTGGCATATCGCAGACACCTGTGATCAATTAGTTGTTCGGACAAAAACGGTTTCAACGATCAATTGTTCTCGGCAGAAACCTTTTGGCACATTCTAGAATAATCCTGCGTCTCCGAGGATATTGCACTGTATAGTTTATGCAGGGACGCGTAATTACGCGCAGGCCGTCACCATGAGCAAAGATCAAGATACGAAAAATCAAATGACATGGCTGGGCGTGACCTAGACGGTGGCTATAAAACATCTGCCGTACAGTTCGCCAACATCATTCATCAGTCTAATCCAGCTCTTGTACGTCGCCCCGCTGAACCGCTCTACGACACCCACCATAATGGCAACGTGAGTTACTTTTTTCATGTCGGATTAGTCATAAGTTTGAACAATTCACCTGTCGATGAGCCCATACAACGCTTCCAAGCAGTTTCCATGTACCAGCGCGTCGATCAATACGTAACATTCGCAAAATTTGGAAGAAGCGTAGACCCCGAATAGCAGATGCCGCGAAAACCTGCATGAGTAGACAGTAGTTTTATCTTCCCTACTACACCAAATTTGTGAAACCTGTCCCGTAGCTCCAATACATAAAACGGTGATAGAAGCAAGAATAACAATGATATCTGTAAATTGAGATCCCCATTCTCTATTGAATAGGCAAATAAGAAATAAACCAATAACACAATAGGCGCTCGTAGCAAATCGAATACGTCCACCAATTCCACGATATCTCGAACGGCAACCAGCCGACCAAACGCGGAATATATACTCAACGGCTAGCCAAATTACAAACATAATTTCCTAGAAAACCAGAGAATTTTTTTCAGTAGTTTAAAAACCGATAGGTTACCAAATAATATAAAACAAGTGTTGCGTTGTCTTCAAAATCAGGCATAGTCGAGAAAACCGATAATGCCAAACACATTAGTACCATTAGTAATCTACAAAGTACGAAAAAAAACATGTGCAAAAATAAATAGTTAGGTAGTTAGATAACACTTACACAGCCAAATGATAAGCCGCCGCTTTCCATCCTCTAGGGCGTTCAAGAAAATTATGAATTTTAGTCTGCATTCTTCGGAATCGCTGATCCGTACGGTAATTTTTGTATGTTAGCGGTTTTCCAACAAGCGACATTTTGCGGTTACCTTCCTGAAAACTCCAACCATATTAGAGTTTTCAAGGCTCTGCTGTGAATCAGAATGATTTTCAAAAACGTTGGATTGTCGTAATGCAATACATATGGTACTGCTTAGATTTACTTCTTTACACATTGTCGGAAGGGGGGGGGGGAGAAGGGAGGGTGAAAAAGCAATTTAATGAAAATGCAACAAACCTCGGCTTCAGTCTGATTCAGTTGTTCAAGTTCGTTGGATGTTGAAACACCTAGATCTGAAATCAACATAGTGTTCCCCTTTTATATGTAAATTGCATGAGAATCGTGCGAAAATAATTGAATGGCGCGCGAAATCAGCAGATATGAGGTGAAGAAAAAACAAAAACGAATTTAACTTACTCAGAGGTTCTTGAAATGCCACGGTTTTGCGACTTTCATGACAAATATGCGATTTTGAACAAACGACGTCGTTTTCATCCCTTCTAGGGATCTTTTCAATCTAAAATTAATTTATAGAAACAATTGAATTATTTTTTTGCTTCAAAAGTACTGCGCTTTACTTTTTTGAACGAAACTCGTATTGATGCAGCGAAAGAATACTTGCCAACTGAGAAGTATTAGCGTGGGCTAATCTATTCTAGATTTGTTTGGTTAGGATATAATAACTTGAAAATCACTATCAAGAAGCGAATTCGGATTAAAAACGCTTGACATATTTTAGGCGCGAACGATTATCAGCCATGTAGAGTCGAGAAAATCATAAATGTGCGAATGAGAGAGAAAAGTAGGAGTTGATGAAAAAGAGACAGCAGCACCTTATTATGACTGGAAAATTACAACCTACAAAATTTTTTAAATGAGCACATTTTTCAATAAAAATGTTTTTAACTAAAACGAAACGATCGATTATAGAAGCCATATTTGGGATACACACGATAAGCTTATTGAAAAGCCGAAATTGTTGTGCTCTTTTTTTCTCTTTTGACGTGTTTTTCCCAGAGCAGTATCAATACGAATGAATGTTATTATCAGAAAATGAATAACAGAGTTTTTTGTTCTGCTACTTCTCATTCGCGATGTTTTACAACCCACGAATATTTATAATTATTCAAACAGAATTGAGAGGAAACCCGAAAAATGAGAAGTACGACAAAGGGTTTCGCCCAAAGATCCTCACCAATGTGTGGAATGGGAATGGCGAATAAAAAGTAACATCCTAGAAATTTGAGACAAAATCGTTTTCGAGACACGTCATCAAACATGTTTGACGCTTGCATTGTGCATGTGCAGTAAATTCATTTTCTTTCAAAATTGGAGCAGGTGGAGTAATGTTGCTCGGATATTGCATTTCCCATTTTATCACAAAGTTTTAAGCAGAAAGATTATATAGTATTATTCAGTTAATTGAATCAGTAATAATGAAACGTACCATTTCAAACTCCATTTCTGTTTAATGTACTTAGCGAGAGGAAACCCTGCTAGTCGATGTAATCTTGGTATGCCGTTGTTCAGCCTTGAGCAATTACTAGAATAGTGTTAAATCAGGAAAGCTCGACGAGTGAAAGACCGCTGCAGGTTCTATACGGATTTTCGCGCCGAAACTCCGCCTATATTCTCATAATGTAGTCGCCTTCAGCTCTTCGCTTGCATTGCCTTCTCGTACAGGATACAATTCTAGATTATGCCTCAACCTAGTCGGCGAAATGAACACGTTTCAACAAACCACTAATCGATGCCGAGTCTCCGCCTACTTTGAGAGAAACTCGCCAGTGGGAATGTATGTCTCGGGAAATCAAAATTATGAACTTGCTAGTAAAATGAACTAAAGCGGCCAACACCAAATCAAGTTATCGCGCTGATAACGTGTATATTAGAGAAGAAAATAATATTAGAAAATATTTGAATAACCAAATTTGCTCTTTGTCTAGAGTTCACAACAGGCATAAAGAAGGCATTTGAGTAGAAATTGTACTTCTTTTTGCGTTCGTCACTAAAAACATTTAATACTTATTAATTATATGAATAAGTCGAGAAAATATATAATATTGAGAAAACTGCCCACAAATTCGCCTAGAAAATGTAGTCTGACATGTTCCGATTGAATCGAAATTAACTAACTTGATTCGCATAAATCCGGGAATTTATGGAAATGCGCATAATTCCATTTTCCTATTTTTGGTTTATTCTGAAAATTTATCGAATTCTCGATTTCTTCTTTTAGTTTTATTTTCAAATCTGACGTTACAAAATGGGATATTAGTTTTATGTGTTTACAATCATAAATAACAACAATTCATTTCATAAAGTTTCCCATGGCAACCTAGAAGTACCATTATTTATGGATTTTATTAGTACATATCAGGAAAAAAACGTTAGTTCAATGAAAAGATTTGAGACAAAAATTATTACGATGATAGTGACGAATAATTTTAATGCGGATTTCAAATGGCTCATCGTTCTTTGTTTGTCAGTGTTATGACGATGAGCATATTTTATATTTTTAAGTTGTTGAGTATGTAAACAGAGCAACTAATAATCTAAATAAGACAAAACATTTAAAGTTTCAAACGATTTACCTCATCGGCATTGAGAAATGAGCAACTAATCGATCTTCCGCTTTTATAGCGGAGCTCTAAAACCAATCCGATCAACTCAAGCAAAAAACTTTATACTAGCCTGGAGTCCATGATTGATGTCTCACTATCATCCCACTAGGAGATTCTGGTGATTCGATAATGCCATCCATGTCGTTTTCATTATCTCCTTCAGACGAGTGCGACATTTTCTAAATGAATACCAATAAAGAAATTTCGGGCAGCGTTTTGCGTTGGACACAACCGAATTAAATGAGATACGGGGGCTAGGAAAATTAACTATTTGTGGTTTCCCATTCTTCGACCTTTAAAACCAATAAAGCATAAAGCACGCCCACCATTAAAATACACGGGATATTGCACAAAACATTCAACATGGACTCAATCATTATGAAATAAATGAGACGGGTAAAGTGACGATAATTGAAATTTTTTCTTCATCCAATATCTTGTTGTTGTGTCAATAGAGCACTCGAATAAAAGGATTTGAAGTGTCGCCCACCGGCTCGTTATCAAACAAATGACTATATTGATAGATCACTGAAGTGTTATCCTTGAATACGCAAATTTCCCTTTTTTTGCAGGTTCTTTAACTGCATTGCACTTCTCGCGTTGTTCGCAATCTCTAATCAAGCGAATTTTAAACAGCGTAAGTTCCTTCCCATTTTTTTTCAGAATGGAAAAAGAGTCTTTAATAATATTTATAATTACAGTTCACATTTTCAACTGGGGTCACCGTCAGCTATCTGGCGCTGCTTTTGCTGATTATGTGCCTGGAAGTCGCCAGCGTTTCACAAACTATCCGGTGAGCAATTTTATAAAATTGCGATTTTTTTATTTACTAGGCGCTTTTTGTTATTTTCCCACAAACAATACATGTTCGTTTCAGACTACTGGCTGCCCTGATGGCTGGGTGACATTTGCCGATTCTTGCTATTGGGTCGAACAGGAGAAATTCAGCTATGCGAAGGCTGAAGAAAAGTGCTACGAGAAAAATGCGACATTGCTGGTGTTGAACTCGCAAGATGAATGGGTGGGTTTACTACGAAATAATTTTTGAGATAGCTCTTTAACTTGCTTCACTGATAATGAATAGGATGATCCTTCATTTTTAGGATGCTCTCCGCCAGCACACACCAAAAACTTATTACACGTGGCTCGGTCTTATTAGACTGACAAATGATAGCAGATGGCTCCGCAGCAACGAGGTTGCCAATGACGGGCAAGATACACCAGTCTGGCAAACGGAAGGTGCAGTAAATCCAACAAAAATGTAAGAATTAATTTAATTTAAAGAAAACAGTTTTCGAATCTTTAGCAACTGGCTCGTTCGCCCTTACGGACCACTTGTTAATGGCTGGTCTAGCGTCTCAAACTGTGTTGCTCACTTCAGACCAGCAGTTGATATCGAAAACACCGATTACGTGTTTTACTACCCATGCAACTACGAGTTTTATTCAATCTGTGAGCGTAACAACACAATTCTTGATTTCCTTAACAGAAAATTCGACTTTGAAGTATAAAAGAATGGAATTTTAATTTATTAAAAATGTGACCCTCCTCGTTTTTTTTAATATGTATATTTGTATATTTATGTCAAAATCTTGATTTGCAACTGTTCAACAGTACCATTTAATTAATATTTTTTGTATTTTAATGTAATAAATCTCATTGCGAGAAATATTGGAATCGATTATTTAAAAAAAATTGAATTTCAAATCATAAATTAAGAAAGAGAGAGAGAGAGAGAGAGAGTGAAAACGTAATCAAATAATCATATGACAGAGACAATGAAAATTTTTTTGTGTTATTTGTTATACAAAAAAAAAGCAAATCAATGTGAAAAGGGAAATGGGACGAAGAGTGTATATTATTTTACCTGACAAGATTTTCCTCTCAAGCATATCATTTATATAAATGTGTTGCGTGGGGAATTTTAAAAATGGCACCATTCGCTTTTTCCAACCTAATAACATAATATATGAAAAGCGATCGCTCATGGAAACATTAAAGCTAATCCAGCTTGAATCATCTATGCTAACGGCCGGTATTTTTAATTTTGTTCTTAGGATTGTCCTTAAGGATACATTTGTATTGTATCGTTATTCATAAGAATAATATGAAAAACAAATACAAAATTTGATATATATATATATATATATATATATATATATATATATATATATATATATATATATATATATATATATATATATATATATATATATATATATTATAAGATATTGATTTTGGCGCATTTTACAGTATTTTTGCTTTCTCTATATTTCCATGAAATAATGAATTATTCTCGTTTGACTAAAATTATGATATGCGAATTAACGAATCATAGGAGAATGGTAAGGAAATTCAAAATTTATTTTATTTTTCATATTAAAAGTTGAATTGCTAAATGTAGTAAAAACTTAAAGTCATTTTCTGGAATGACTTTCTAGACATTTTGAAAAAAAAATCTATTTACCAATTAAATTTATTTCATCTTGACTTATATGTCGTTAGTTGTATGTTGAAGAATGCACTTTTAGAGAGCTAAAATCTCAATATAGCAAGACGAGTCATGTTTAATACTGAACAAAAAGAGTTTTTCGAAAGTCAAGGGAAATCGAAAATTTACTACTTTTTAGATTGGATGTACCTCCAAAGTTTATGGCATAACCAGTTGTGCAAATAAATCTCCGGCGATATTTTATTACAATCGCTTGGAATCTGAAAAGTGAACCGCATTGTATCCCGGTTATTTTTCATAAAATGTGTATCAATTTCAAAATCTTTTAGTTGAAGCTAAAGTTTTTCTGAGTGACTTTTATTTAAGGTGGTCAATATATGTGGTGTCGGGATATTTTCGTTTTCATGATTAGATAATGCAAAAATTAAAAATGTTTGTTTCATGTCACTTTATTAAAATCATGGATGGACGATATAAAAAATAATAAAATCCTGATAAATATTATACAACAAATGTGCTCATGTGCAAATGTTATTGTATTATCACTTATAATATTTTTTTTTTGAAAAATATTTTATGATTTATTCAAGAATCATTTTGGGATCAGCTAAATATGTTTTCCAATCGATTGCATTGCTTAATGAAATCGTCTCTTTTGCTATTTTGCAATCTTATTCATAAGTAAAATCATTTTAAACAAAACAAATACGTATAAGCAAGATGCATGCATTTTAGACAATCGTTTCCTTGTTTTCGTTTGTGTCTTGATTTCCAAAAAACGCAGTGATGACGCCCTCACTCACAAATAATCCGCAAGACAAAAGAGAAAAAATCTGCAAATTTATTTCCCCAATCAGCACCGATAATGGCACTATTACCCCAGCCAGAGCCCATCCATTAATAGCACATTGTGAGCTCATATCCGACATACTGTAGGTGATGAAAAATTCGTCAAGCCATGGACAAGTTGAATAATGCATCTCCAATCCAAATACAAAAAGCGTAAATGGGACGGCTCCGAAAGAGTAGCACATACTCTGAAAACCTCTTAATTACACAAATACCGTCATTAGCCATTCTAACGCTACTATTAATACATCGGACGTCATTCCAAAATCCGAATATATAATATATAGAATTTCCGACTAATTTTTTTAAAAGTTGTCTGAATGTTTTGCGGATTTGTTTTTGCACTTACCATAATACGAGATGTAGTAATTCCGCATATATGAAGCAATTGAAGAAAAATAGTCGAAAACAGGAGGAATACTGTAATACACGCGGACAGATACTGCCCACTAAGGCGAAGAAATACGAATGTTTCTGGAAGGTCGTCGTTTGACGAATTGTATGTCCACTTATCAGCAGTCAGCATAAGATCCTAAAATTTCATTTTCAGTTATTTCCCACTCTCTCACTCTGACATTTTCTTTATTAACCCCATTTAATAAAATTAGATTCTTGATATGTAATTCACTTATAATATTTATTAGTCTACCCAGCTAGATTTACAGATTAATTTCCATACGCGCAGTCTGTGAGATTAAATCAAAAATGGATGAACCAATAATTATCGAATTATACGTTTCGTACTTTGCACCTTGGTGAATATAGTTTGCATAATTTTATTAGTAAGTTTTTTGACACATACCTGGTACCTTCCATCCTTTTGAACCTGGTATTTGCCAAAACCAGTGAACAGTAAAATATTTATGAGAAATAATAAAATCTGAAACAAATCGTCGTTATTATTAATAAATTAAACTTCCTTTTATTATTCTACTAAGAATACATAAATTAATCTAATTAGGAAGGATTAGTTTTTCGATGAATCATGGTTAATTCAATGACTTGCCATGTTTGCTGCTCGGATCGAAAATGTGATTTTATAAGCACTGATGTCGTCATTTCGTCGAGTTTCAACTTCAGACTCGAGCGCTTGAGCTACAAGAATGAGCCGATTCAAAGTGGCGGTGGACACCTTTCTCTCGTTCTGCTAAATCGAGACGATTATCATAAACAATCAAGGAATTTTCAAACTCACTTCCATTTTTGGCGGTTTTGTCAGAGAAGAAGATGCTGCTGGTAGAGCGCTGCTTGATTTACATGCCGTCTAAAGCATCCACTATAAGCTTGGCAAAAGATGAATGGTCACATCCATCACAGTACGAAATTCATTTCATCACAAATTCTTCACAAATAAAAGGGAAAAGGTGGACAGTGAAACAACAAAAAGAAGAAAAGAACATCGAATACACACGAATGAAATGAACCGTTTTACATCACTCAATGTGACAGGGAAAGCGTCAATTTCGACAATAAGGTGAAACGTGGAAAAAAAAAAACCAATTCGAACGTGTGCATAAGACTCGTAAAAAAGCTTCATATCGAAGCAGAAAAATAACGAGAGCAGGCAATATGTCAATGAAGCCCGTCAATTATATCCAATGGTAATAAAGAATAAAACGTTCAAAATTGGCAAAATCCGCTCAAAACGAGCTTTATTTTTTCGAATTATGTCTATGTTCACTTGTCATTTTAAATACACATGTATATTATTTCATGCACATAAAACTGTATGGATAACACTTGGCGCGATTAACGAAAATAATCGGATCTTCGACAAAATATGCGGAGTCAGGTTCGTTTTGAGAATTCCCCAGTTCTAGAAGATTTGCAGACATCAATCTAGCCTTCTTAAACGCAAATATGTAATTACTGGGCACGATGATATTTAAAATATATTTTTGCCGCCCAAATTAGGTTTGACATTAAAAAAACAAAATACCAAACATTTGCACATTACAAATTTATTGGATCCAATTACTCTCTAATATTGTCGAAAGAAATGTTGAAAACTTGCGCAAAAATATGGCTTTACACTCAAATTTGTAGTTTACAGATTAATATATTTTATTTAACATTTGCTTAATTTTTTAAGAGATGTAAAAAGAGCTATATATATAATTTTTTTCCATTTCGCAAATATGAAAAATAACGAAAATAAACTGAAAGAAGAATCAAAAAGAAAATGAAAATATAATGAATTTTAGATAAAAACCAAGGCGATTAATAACTTCAGAATTGAAAACCCTTGATGAGATTATGCATGGCAAATATAGAGGTGATGTTAAAATGAAAAATAAAGTGATAATGAAACACTTTTAATTGGCCATCAATGTTTCTATGAAAATATGTTTTCCATAATATAATTATTTACAATTCCAGGAAATCTTTTGGCAAATCTATGCGGCAAGATATTCACATGAATCAATTTAAAAAAAATCCCAATTGTTTTAAACTGTTTTTAACAAAAAATTCAACAAACAAAGGAAAAAATTGAGTCACAATTTGAAGAATATTTGTATGTATGAATTTTTGGTGCAATTCATAACACATGAGTGGCTTCAGAATTTTTCAATTCCATTGTTTCAGTCTACATTTTCCTGTAAAATCATCCATTTATTAATGCGCATTTATTTGTATGATATTCGATCAAACAAGTAGAATAAAAATTAGAGTGATTGACACGTTGAAGTCTCACATTGCATTCAATTGAATAACGTAAAATCTTTCCTGCGAGCGGGAAACAATTATTTCGCAGTGCAAACTGGGCATAATTCGCATCGTTCAAGAAAACTAACTAATTTGCAGACAAAGTTGGCCCATTAGGAAGCGCTCAACAAGCATTTCGCCAAACTCTACAACATCGATTTGCGCCACTCACATGAAAATTTTACGCGATCCCGGCGTTTGATTTGGATAAGAATGAAAAAGAAAAACACTCAATGTGTTCATCTTGTTATATAGAATACGACAATGCAGCTATTTTTCAATTCAATGTGCATCTGACAAGTAAAACATAAAAGAAAAAACTCGGAATTGACAATGAATTTTATTAATGAAAAACGAACATCCGCATTGTTCATGTAGTTTCGTGCTATATCATGCAGAATATGAGTACCACTTTTGCTTGTTTTTGAAACATTTTCAAATTAAACTTTCGTCATTTTTCTTAAACTTTGGAAACTTAACATAAAATTAGTCAGAAAAAAAACAACAGCAAAAATTAAGCGTGAAACAAACCAAAAATATTATTAGATCTTTTTCAATAAAAAAATAAAAACTTCTGCGAAAAAAAATTTATGAAAATTTCAATATTTCAGCTGTTGTGGATTTTGATGCGAAAATTATAGCATTCAACTAAAGCAGTCATCTGTTTTTTCGGTGAAAACGTATTACGATATTTTATTACTTTTTTTTGAAATACTAGCTTAAATCTTTGATCGAAACGAAATTTATTAAGAAACAGCGCAATTTGGATCGTATTTCAAATTCAATTTTTGGGAAATAGGGAGTGAGGGGGGGGAGTATTTCTTAACAAATACATATTTTCATAAGAAAGAATATAAAAGAAGAGAAAATAAAACAGATTGATAACATTTCTAGCTTAACATTTTTAAAATTTTTTTCTCAAAAAATTTCATTTGATGGTGATTTGGTGAAATAAGTATTTTAACAGTAAATATTATTTGTCTCTAAATTAGTATTAAAATAATTGATTTTATTAACAATTGTCAATATTATATTGGTTTAGAGAAATGCTAAAAGCTCAACGGGCATTCTACTCACGAGACATTGATTATTACTGGAACCAGATCACTAATAGTTTCGAGTCTTCAATTAGCGGACTTCAAAATACCCAAAGTAAGTTAAATTTTGAATATTTTTCGATTAAGTAGAATAAATGGAATTTTCTTTAAAGGCAGAGTCTACATCGCCGTCATAGATTAATCAACATTTAAATATATTCAGCAAACATCTCCTTCCATAATTCATCAACCAAACTATTTTCGTCACATTTTCATTTCATAAAGTCCAACAATCGGCCATAAATTTTGAATACTATGAAGAGAAACATAATACTATGAATGAAAATATAATTTCGAAACGAAGCGTCTTTTTCGTAAAATATTGCAGAAAAAAGATTGAAGAATTTTCAGAAAAAAAATCATATCATGTAAAATTGATTGTGCCATTGGCAGATATTTTTGCGAGTCGAGAGCAGTTTTGACGCGAAAATCATTTTTACACTGGTATGAGAGAAAGAATACAACGATAAATTTCCGAGACCAGATTTTGTTCGTCTCGAGAATGATATAATGATTTATTGCGAAGGAAAAGAAGTTGAAATATACAACCATTTTATTATGTTTTTCATTCCAAAATAGTGGAAGTGAAAAATGTATTGGATAGTGAATAAAAAAAAATAAAAACGATGTCACGTATGGGTGTTTCCTGAATAAAAACACGGATTCCAAGAGAATCGAACAATTGGATTTGATGATTTGCCGAAAATAATACATGCGAAAGCAGGAAACGTAAGTGCACATCACTCATCTGAGGCAAGACGTGGAGAAAAAAAACTGACCTTGCTCACTATTTTCTCCAGATGGCAATATTCATTGTCCACTGTCACTTGTTTTTTCATGGTTCAATCTCTGAGATTTAGCACTCTGCAGCGGGATTCGATTACGGAAGCGTATGAATAATCACGTGGCAAATCGAATTTTTCAAAAGCAATCGGCATGTAGGTGGAGAATATAGTTTTACACAATATATAAACAATTTATGTCGGCATCTCTTTGCTCAAACTTTTATTACATTTGTATATGATTGATATCTCAAACAAAGGAAAGGGTGTTGAAAATTTTGTGATTCTATGACGACAATCCGATTAGCTGGCCGAGCATAAATCCGATGAGCAATTTGACACAGTTTTCTATCCTACTTCGTTAAAAACAAAAAAAACTCTTTGCTTTCTAAACCTCCATCGGGATTATTTTTCCTGACTCATCTAATTCGAAGAAGGTACAATCAGGGAAGCTGATTGAAATCGAAAATTCATCGAATAAGCAATTCAAAACAATTTCAAAAAGAATTTATGAAAATCCATAGAAACATCCGAAATGTTCACTATGCCAACCAACAATCGAAAAATGAAACTTTTCAAGAAGAACGTTTTAAAAAGAAGTTTATCAAGCCGGCGTGGAAGAAATATGAAATATTTTATTCCGCTAGATATCTAACATTAAACACAAAATATATGTGATAAACCTTCATCAAGTTATGCATTTATAACGAGAGTATTATTATATTTGGAAAATATGTAATTTTTTAAAGTTTACATGCAAAAATTCAATGTTCACTAACTAGAACACGAAGTGTATGTATTGAGAGGGTGAGGAGATTAAAAGCTCTCTCCAAAATAAATAGTATGGGAAGGGATTTGAATATCGGATTAGCGGATTGTGATAAACGTTATCGGAAAAATAATTATCACTCGTAATTGTTTTCATCGTTTCACTTCAAGGAAAATAGGTTAAACGAGAACATACGAATAACAATAAAATTAAAATTTAAAAGAAAACATTGTTTCAGAAAATTCATAATCAAAACAATTTCTTTTACTTAAAAAAGTTAAGAATGAACATTAAAAAAAACAAGCTTTAAACCATTGGATATAAAATCGTACTAAATGCTTATAATATTTTGCACTATCGCAAGTAAATTGCCAGTATCATGGAATACGAAAAGATCGAATACGACGAATTAATGGAACTCATATTATTTGTGCTGAATAAAAATTTGATTTTTTTGCTAGTCCCACAAATGTCTATCTATTGTAGCGTTTTTTTTTAAGTTTGATGTATTAACGATTTTTTTTGTATTCTGAATGCGCTTTTTAAGAATCATAATTGAGCTTTAAAAAGATTTTTTTATCAAGTAGTTCACTTTTCTCTAACAAGGAGAAACTCGTCCGATTGTTTCGTTATTCGCGTAATGCTTATTTTTAAAGGTAAAATTAATTCAATGTCTAGGCTCGTATTTCCAGCCCTGGCCTATTCGATTTAACAAAATGAATCGATAAAAATTAGAAGTTCTTTTGAGATTTCTGACATTTACTCAAAACGTCTTTTGTCTGTAAATACATTACTAACGACTGATGAGAATTGGGTTCTACCTTCTAACGACAACGCTGCAAATTTATATAAATGTAAAATAATGCAGACAAATAGCCAACAGTCAAGAACCTGCAAACCAACCAAACTGTAATTTCCCAAATCAACAAGGGCACCATCCAGTCAAGCATCACATGTCACGTCGCCACGTCACCCCATGGACAGTTATCAGAATCAAGTCCAGTCTTTTTTAAGAGCGGAGATGTCATGAGGAATCTCGCTCTATTGTCCAGGCGTACGGTAAGCACTCAGTGTATACACACATACTGCGGTTGACGCGCTATTTGGTTGCGTATTTAGTTTGGCTGTTTTGACCTATTCTTCGGCGGCTGTTTTTTTAGGTTATGTTATTGTTTGTTCATTATGTGTTCATTATCTTTTTAGTGTTGCACGCAGTAAGCGTGATCGTCTCTTTTTATATATTTTCTTGTTTATCGATTATTGCGCGTCTAATTGTTGTTTGTCGTTTTATTTCCCATTCAGATAAATACCATAATAAGTTTCATCGCACACTTATAACACATGATTTCAAAAATTTAGATAATGTGAGGAAAATAGTAAATCTATTCAAGAAAAGTAAAACAAAGTAGAGTCGGCGAATGGCGACTGCTGTAAACTGATATATTTACGTGCATGCGCTTTGCTATGGTTTTCACTGACTAACTATATATGTATTTTGCATTTTAGAGATCATTCCGTTAAGTTCTAATTTCAGTGATATTAAGTATTCAAGGAAATGATATACTCAACAGGAAAAATTAAATAGTTCACGTCAAAATATACTATAAAACTCTATTTTTTTTTAATTTCAAATATAGTCGGCGTCCGAAGACTGGTGTACACGGGAAGATTTACGCGTGCGAATTTTCAAATGATCTCGCTACATTTTAACGCTTATTTAACTGTTTTCTTGTGAATGGTCATTTTTTTCTTAATGAGTTTGACATTTCCTTGAATTTCCATCGTCAAAAATTATCGAACCGCATGCGTAAATCTATGCAGCAGTTGCCGGAGGCCGACTATTTTTCTTAAGAAGCCTACATCAGAAAGCCTTCTTATTTGAAGTTTATCTGTTCTGCATAAATTGGCAAAAAAAATGCAATATGATCGCAAAAGGTCACTAGCAAGTTGATTATCAAAAATAGTAGGTGTTCAAATTGTTGAATTATTCCATTTAGCGAACACTGATTTACACCAGTCAACTGATATTGATATTTGTCTTATTCAATAATCTAGTTCCTGTTTCGTTTTCATATTTTTTTCTCTTTTCATTTAATCGTTCACTACTGAAAATTAAAAGTTTTGCATGTTTTTTTTTACTAAAGTAGTTTTTTCTTTCCCTTAAAAAAAGTATTGGGATAACCACTAGTTCTGCAATCATCTTTTTGTTTTCTGCAAATAAGTACCGCCCACAATCGTTGCGCATCCGTTTGTTTGAAAACATTTACCTTTGAACTAGATTGATCGACATCGTGGACGCTGTTTCCCACAATTATTTACAACATGATGGTATTACAGACAGTCATGTGCAAACTTTTGAGCATTGTGCTCTTCGCATTCCTTCTAGATACTTGTGATAATATGCGAACAGAGCAACAAGTCATTCGACTTATTTATAAGTCGTGCGAACGCGAGAAAAATTTCTGTCCAAAACAACGTAAGCACTATTTTATTACATCATTTAATATAATTAACATTCATTGCAGAATACGGTATTTTTGAAAATGGAAAAGAGTGGAAATGGAACCATAGTTCCCTTTACCAATTAGCAAAAGTGGATGTTTTGCGAAAAGTGAAACTCCGTAACAACATGTTTAAAGTAGTTCTGAAGGTTGGAGATTTTTTTATATTGTGAAATATCATCATGTTTTAGTCAATTTTCTGCTGCACACACGGACCGTGTCTCAAGAATTGTCGAATCGGGTTGCATTCGAATGAAATCGATCTGATCCAAGATTTCCCCGCAAACGCCCCTTATTTGCTAAAGGTTGAACTTTTGAAGGTATGCTTATTTTAATTTTACCAATGTCGCCGGAGCACCTAGCTATTTATTTTTTGCTGTTTTGAGCAACTTTATCAAATATTTCTTCAACAATTAAGAGTTATGTTCGTTTCGTCAGGAAAATCCGAAAAAAATAATAGTTGCAAATCTAATTTTTTTATTTACAGGAGCACCACCAATTTATAAAACAGTGGCTTGAAGATAATGCCGGTGGATATGAAACGAAAGAAAACCCAAGTGCTGAGCTTAATGAGCTATTCGATTTCATGTTTCTCTATCAGGATGCCATCAGATCCAAGCTCAAACAGAACGCTAATTCTGCAGTGAGAAACTAAACAATTTTCATGTTTTATTGTTCTACCTCAATTATTTCATTTTGGTTCTAAACAGGTCATAATTTTATTCTGTTGAGATCTCTTCTAAATTTTGAAATGAAATACCGAAATTTGAATGTGTTGTGTAACATGTGTTTTTGAGGATATTCGTTTTGAATAAAAATCCTTGATGCTTATTAAAGTCGAGTAAAGTGTACAAAACCACGTGCGTTGTAATGATATCGTTATTTATTTTTCGAAATTGGGAGGGAAAGAATTACAAAATGTTATCATATCAATGCCGAAACCTATGGTTGTCTTTAATGATGGCATTCTTTTGAAAACTGTTTAGTTTTTTTAGAGAGAGAGAGAGAGAGAGCGGTTCTAAACAGTTTCTGTTCATTAAAGTGATTCATCATTTCCGCAGGTATCAATTCCGTTCAACGAAATATTATTTTTTTCCATTTGACAAACAGTATTCACATTTTTTGTTCTGATTTGTCGACACAGGTTTTCCCGGAAGTCATTGAAGAGATTGACTTGTTTTTGATATATCGCGACCATTTTTTGTGATAAATATATACATTTTTTGGAAAGTAGCATTGAGAAAGACATCATATCATTATAGCTTTATTTGAATAAATGAGAGTATAATTTATCTTAACGAAAAGACTCAACGTCAGCACGAAATGTTTGTACCATTCCATCCGGTTAAATTATGGTTCAATGAGACTTTATTATTTTCGTTTGCTGCGTATTTGATAAGGTCTTCAAAGAATGTCATAATTCCCTAGCAAAAAACTTTGTTTTCTTTATTATTTTGTTTCTTTTTTCTTACCTTTGGAGCAAAAGCATCGACAACAGAGTTTGGAACATTTTTCAAACGCATGTCAGCATGAAGAATTGCTGTTATTTTAGTATCACTACTTCCTCTAGAAATCGAATAATCGTAATTGTTTAAAAAAATATATGAACTTACAAAGGATTAAGCATGAGAAGAGTTGGATATGTATTTCCACGGACGACTCCCGGATTGGCTGGAACATTGCTGTTCTCAACACTCACCATAACTACAGTTCTACTACCTAAAATTCCTGCGTTTTCATAAAAGAACACTGCAATATTTACCATCCAAAGAATCAGTCTTAAATTTGCACAAATCAACAGTTTCGCGAGCTGATATCAATCCCATCAGTCTAGGATGGGTTTTGTGAAGAATAATGGAGGTGTTCTGAAAATTATAAAAATGTCAAAATCTAATACTGTCGACGTCAAACGACTGTAGGGAGGCGGGAAATTCAATTTGAAGTGATTACTTCGGATTTACGAGCAGGTAAATTTATGTGTTGTCTGAGTATTAAATGCGTGTAAACAAAATCACAAATCACGGGAACCAGCACACTTCTACTTGTATAAAATCTTGGCACCTCACTGATATTTTTAATCTCCCTCAGTCGTTTGACGCTTACTGTTTATGAAAAATCTTTACGTCATTGAATTCTTGAACAACAGTTGTCCCAGCAGATTGAGAATCCCATTTGGAGCGATGTAAGCCTTCAGGATGTATCATCGCAGAAACCTAAGTTGATTTGAATAGCGCTTTCAATTGGTATTCTGAAAAAGCAACCTCAGCACAACTTCTGTTGGGTATATATCCTTCATAGCGATAAATATAATTGTTCATCACATTGCACTTCATTGTCCAAATAGATCCATAGCGCTGAAAAACTAGCATAATAAATTAAATTATCAATTTTTAATAAATTTCTCATCTTTAAACGTTTTATATTACGGTTTTTATTCTGTGGATGCTTGTATATGTCATGCTATCCGAAAAAAAAAAAAACATTTTATGTGTGTATTAATGAAATATTGTCAAGGTCAAAATACTTGCAAACCCTAGTGGATTTTTGAATTGTGATTGATCATCAAATGATAGCAGTGAACTAAGAAGATAGTCTACAAACCGTGAGAAGATAGAAATTACCTTCTCAGAGTGAAGCTGCCATTCAAGAGAATGAAGAAGATCGAAGACACGCAATTCAGCATTCTCTATGATATTCTCATATGGTGAATCGGTAGTAGAAACCATCATACTCAGTTGAACTCAAATAAAATGTGGGGAACGTTGACGTTGAGCGTTTCTGAAGTAAAAATCTAACTTAAGTAATCAATAATAAATATTTGATTCGCTTCTAATTGAACCAACTCGTCGTTGCGTGAGCGGCGTAACGAAGGCAAGAGAAAAAGACGAAATCTACAAAAAGCAATAACGCTTTATATCTGAGATTGCAATCTCGCATTCCGTCGCCATCAAAGGAATTTCAAAATCGATATGCGCACTAAACTCATATAAGCACTGCACAGATCCGCTGTAATTAGACGTCACAACGCAAAACCGGCTTCATCGCTGTTTTTCTGGCTTTCATCCAAAATGTTGATCGTAGACAACGATTAGGTGAAGGTGGATGGCAAATCTAAAAAGTGCCGTTGGAATGCGTTTTCGTTGAACCCCTCGTTTCTGATCAATGAAAGAGAATAATGTACGCAAACTCGGCAAAATTTGACAGATGCATCGAAATGTATTTGAATTGATCCCACCAATTATAATGGTTTGAACCGTCATCAACGTGTTAATCCCATGCGTTTACATGTGTACGCAATCTATTTCAGCGGGTAACTAACTTCGCTCACTTTCATCGATATTAATGGCAAAAAATAAATCAAGCTTATGGTTTTTGTTTTATTTGATTGCCTGCACGAATTGTTTAGTTGACTACGACACGGACTCCGGAAGAAGAGTAAGTCACATTGTCGACTCCTTCCTTTTTCTCGCGATGTGGTGTAAGCAAAATGCGTTGTTAAATGTTTTTAGACATTGATTAATCACTGATAATTTATCAATTTTGGATTAATAAGACGAAAATGCTCTTTGAAAAAATTTAGCAGTGAAAAATGGGATTTAATTTCGAAATTTAAATTTGAATTTACGAATTGAAAAATAATGTTTTAATGCAAATTTTTGATAAAACATTTTGAAAATGCAAACACTCAAATAACAAAACAATTTGAAAACGTTTTGCTGTTTTATCAATACCTTCAAAAAGAAATTGATAGGTTTCACTAGTTCAGAATTCGTCAAAAACGTTAATTATAACAAAAGTAGACGAAATCATATGAAATATTAGAATGTGGAAAATGAGAATTTAACCTATTTGTTCAGTTTTTCATCTGGTCACTATGCATTGGAGCATCCAATCCGCAACAATGTGTTGAAACCGAATTCTACGGCCAAATGATACTGGCAACGTAATATATTCCCAAACTTATTTTCTTAATATTTTGATTTCAGATTCGAGGCTGATTGCAGTGATTTAGTATTTAAAGGAAAATGCCGTGTTGTGGTGTGTTTTCGAATTTTTGAACTTAGAAATTAACAAATAACACATGCAGATAGATGTCGATGATGGATACACACTATTGGGCATTACATTCAAATCAGAAGCTGGAATTGAAGCTATTACCAAAAATGGAAAGACTATATTGAATGCTCAGGTTTTTCAAAATTAAAAAAACAAACACAAAAAATGGCTATTTAGAAATTAGCAAAGTTTGGCGAATATGGTAAAGTTATGACAGATCTGCTTGTTGCATTTGGAAGGTTATGGAATAGTGGAATGGGGGCCTATCTCAAACAATTATGGGTGGAGTATTGCGATCTTTATATTTCAGTTTGTTTCAATATTTGTAAACTTAATACTTTAAACATTTTAGTTCAGTGGATTTTCCATGGGTGCTTGTTTAGCTCAAATGGCCGCAGTTCGATTCAAGGAAGAACAATGGTGGCCGGCAGATCAAATGTTTTACTTTGGATTTGGAGCTCCTAGATGTGGAAACGAGGTTTTTTAATCCAGTTGTATGTGTCAGATTGCCACTCATTTTCAAACACTTTCAGGATTTTGCTTATTATGTAGATCAGAGTGTAGAGGACAAGTTCAACATTAATTGGATGTTAGATCCATTCCCAGTAGGGTGATTTTTCTTTCCATTCCTTAATGCTAAATTAAGTTGTATCCGGAAACAACTTGTGCTACAGGATCGCCTGCTGCCCTTGGACAGTGTACAACTGAATATTTTCATTGCTGTGTAAGTTATTTATTATTCTTATGTTAGAAAATAATGCTAGCTTATTTTCAGACTACAATCCATTACACATCATATTCTAGTACTGCGCTGAGTACTTATCAAACATGCGGTTCGAATGAATGTCTTCCAACGAGTAATTTCTCTCTCGAAGCCTATATCATTTATTTGCATGATTATAGGCACAAATAATGCGGACCATTGGACATACTTCCAAACGACTGCACAGGATGTTGACTCACTGACGTGCACAACAACCAAGAAATTTCCTTGATGCGTTATCGTGCCTGGTCATCAAACAATAAAGCATACTGATAACATTTTTATCATTTTATTTCGTTTATTTGTCATGGCTGCCTCGCATCCTGAAACTTGCTGGAAATCCCTTAAAAATCAGAGTCGCGATTTATTTAATGAAAGTGGAATGATTTTCAAAATGGAGGTAACATCTTTGTATTGTCTTGTTTGTTAGAGATTGACATTACAGTTTATTGGTTATGTTCCAATTCAACAAAATTTGGCTAATGTTGATGAAAGTTATAAAAAGAAGCTCTTACGGTATATATATGTATATATATATGCATAAAAACACTAGCCGTTTTCAGTCGCTAACGCAGTGGCGTTATGTTTTGTGTTGTAGTCATTGATGTATAGATAAATGTTATTAAGTTCGCACCTCCTTAAAAAAACAGTTGAGAAAGTTCCTGAAACCCATGTGATCAAATTAAAAAATTATTGAACTGTGAAAACGGTAAAAAAGTTAGCGAAGTACAGACGGACAAACGTGTTTTGACGTCAAAAAATACACATAGGGATATAAAAATTAAAATATTTTTTCAATTAAAACACTATTTCACGTAACCATATTTTTCGATAGTTAAATTTTCATTATCATTATTAAATATATTTGTATTATTATGTGTATACATAGTTTTTAATATTATTTTTGGTGCTAGTATCGAATTTAAAATTTTTAAATTTAATATTTTTAGTGAATATTTCCAGATCAAATTTTAAATAAAATTTTCAGATTATGTTTAAAAACTATCTTAACAATGAAACACGGAAAGTCATTTCAAGAACTTTTGAATTCAGGGGTAAAACATTAAAATTCATCTAATAAAATGTGTTTAAAACATTTTCAGAAAGCTCTCAATTTCACCAGATTTTTTTCGTTAATGGTTGAAATAATACTGACATCAAGCACAATATCAGTGTTCAATGTTGAAAACAAATTAACAAGATTGGTTTGTCGTTATCGATCAGATCAAATTGTACAGTTTGGATTTTCGGAAAAAATAGTAAAAAATATTAAAACTAGACTATTTGAAAAAAAAAAACATATTCAGGATGATCAAGAATATTTTGCAATTATTGCTACTAACAGGATAAAAAACGAATTAATGCAAGAGTGCGTTGTTTTTAAGATTAGTTGTGCTGAGCAGGTAAGGTATTAAGAAAAATTGCTTAACATTTTTTAGATTTTAGAAAAAGAATCTAAAGGAGGAATTTTTAAAATATGAAGGACAAACAAAACGTTGTACTGCAGATACAATTATACGAATGGTGGCGCCAACTAAACAAAAAACAAAAGTTCAATGACTGGTATTGTTTTCAGAAATCGGTTCAACATTTCAAACTTTTAAATATAAAATATTCGGCGTTCTACCATCCACAAATTTTACGATATTTAGACGATCATCTCTTGAACAATGGAGATTTCTTGTTCAGGTATTTGTTCTTGTCAAACTTGCGCCAATCTTATCATATTTAGATACAGTGAAACTCAAAATAAGATAGTTCTGAGCTATCGAATGAACAACGAAATATTGTCGGTGACAGATTTATCAGAAGAAAGATTGCTAAAACTACTTTACTCTTACAAGATCATTAAAATCGATTACCTCAGAAACCCCATTTCTAGAAAGATTAGCCAATAAAATAATTTATCACACTAAAAATATGTTGCCATTATTTTAAAGGGAATATTAATTTTGGAAGTTTATATTAAGCTCATATGATCTCCCATAAAGGGGAGACGACTCTTAAATTTCAGATCGCCAACAATTGGTTGAATCTTAGGTAGTTCAACCAATATTGGGGAATATCGAGACATAGGATATGTTACGCATCGAAGAAAAACTGCAACGCCGGTTCTTGAGAAGCAAGAATTTCTAATCGATTATGAAAATTGAATAAGATACAAACAAGATCATAATAAAAAAGACATTTTTTAAATTTCTCTCTCGCAGAAATTCATTTCTTCAAACTTGCGTTATACTATCCAAAAGTAATTTGTAATATTGAGATAATCGTCTAGCAGATGAGTGGATGCATCATAACATCCATCCGTCTTCCTCACCTTCACACAATTCTGGTCTTGAAATCATGCTGATAATGTTTAATAAAAAATAATCAGCATACCGTCATGTCAAAGCCTCTCTTTTTTCGAAAATTTTCAATAACGACATATAGGCATTTGCTTTGAAGATATCACATGTCAACATTTGTAATTAAAAAATGAAAGAATAATAAATGAGAGCGCCCAGACCATGTTTGAAAATACCGTGTCGCAAATGCTGCATAAAATCCAGAAAACATCTATCTCATTTGATTTTTTTAATATGATGAACAATGTGCATTTTTTTTTTTGATTTTACTCGCAATCCAGCTATCTATATATTAACACTGCCATATCACATCCACGCAATTTTTTGGTGTAGGAAGTGCGCTCTATCGAAATCGTCGTATTTTTAATCATGAGACAAATTTTGAATAAATTTGGTTTTAATATTCAATAATAAAAATGATTAACGACTTATTAATTTATGTTAATAATTTTAGTAAAATACTTTTTTTGAAAACTAAACTTTCATAATGTGTATCAAACGTTGGTGTTAATTGATTTGTGAAAATTTAAAACGCCTTATTCAAAAAACACATTTCAAAATTTTAGTATGGAATTTCCATGTTTGAATAAAAATGAATATTTAGCGCTGACGCATGATTCTCATCACGTAACCGGTATTGTTTGCATGGTTTGGAAGGGAACAGTTTCAACTTTCACTCGTCGCCACTTTGTTTCGACTATTTTCATCGATTAATGTTACGAGCACCGGCAGCCGAAAGAAACAAAAACGCAATTCTCGACGTGTTGAGAAGATTTCTAAAATCTGGTAATAAGGTAAGAACTTGTAAAGTTGCTTTCATTCGAGCCTTTGAATCAGGTTTTGGAAATTGCCTCTGGAACAGGTCAACACATCACTTATTTTGGAGAATCTTTGCCGAGTGTAACATTTCAACCATCCGAATGTGATTCAAGAATGCTTCACAGCATTGTAGGATTTATTGAAGAACATAAAGTACGACTCATAGACGTTCGTTTGAAAAAAAAAAAAACAAATCTTTTAGCTGCCGAATGTTCGTGTTCCACTTTACATTAATGTAGCCAAACGATTTGATCAATGGGCTCTTCCTGGAGATTACGGACCAAAAACAGTACGAAAGAATGAAAGTACCTTTTTTTGTTCTGAAACGAATTTACAGGTGGATGTTGTGTTGAACATAAATATGATACATATTAGTTCGTCAAGGGCGGTTCAAGGATTATTTGAAGCTGCGGACAATTTGCTAAATGATCAAAATGGGCTTCTCATAACTTATGGACCCTATAGCATTGACGGCGTTATATCCCCAAAATCGAATGTGGATTTTGATTATGGTCTTCGATGTCAAAATGCGGATTGGGGATTGAGAGATACAAAACATTTAGAAACGGTAAGGCTTCAATCAAAAATAGTTTATGCAAATAAACATAGCTTTTGTTAAATATTGCTGAAGTCTATTTTGCAACATTTTGAGCCAAGATATTATTTTACAAAACCCAATAATTATTATATTTCTGTACGTTAGTTTAGTATGATATTATCAACATTTCAATTTTTTCAGCTTGCTACTGAAGCAAACCTTCATCTTGCTGAGAAAATCGAGATGCCAGCTAATAATTGGATGCTCATTTTTTCGCGATAATTGTGCATTCATCCTTATTACAACAATTACTAAGCAAAAGCAGTCTTCAGGACTAAGTCATGTGTTTTAATTGTGATCTAAATCATTGAATTTTTTAGAGGAAAAGCTAATTCATCGAAAAATAAAAGATTTCCAAATCATTCAAAAACTGTATGCCTTATCAAACTTAATGAAATGGGACAATATGCTCATCGTTTTGTATAGTTACCTTTCCTTGGTTAGTCAGTAGTGACGATATGAGGACATACTCCAAAATCTGTTTCGCGTCTTTTTCTCGCCATAATAAGTATGCAATATTGCTACCACAAATCATGAAATTTCAATGAAGTCTACATATATTCACACCCGTTTTGATTCGCTGTCAAATTACCAATCGATTGACAGATAAATTTTAAGCAAAAGAGAATTTTCGCATCTTGAAACAAATGTTACCTTGTTAGCTATTAACCAATTCCATTATTATAGCATTCTATGAAACAGTAGTTACAATAAGTTGGCTCTAAAAAATCAATATGAAATAACTAGAATATTTGTAGATTAGTGGTCGATTGAATATTTGTAAGATGAAAATTTTAAACGTTATTTCAGAATTTATTAGATAACTTCAAATTATTCCGCATTACTAATATCTTTCTATGGTTTTCCATTATTTTTCAAAATCATCAAAAAGATAAAACTATAAAGGTTATTCAATCCTCAACGAACGCAGCATCGGTATACATCAAAAGTACATTGAACGACTGGAAGGATCGAACAGAAATGTGGAAAAACGAATAACGAAACATCGAATATTATTTTTAAGTTATTAATGAAAAAAATCTGTTTCAATAGGTTAAATGCTATGAAATGCTGCATGTTAAACTACAAATACTACATTTTATGCGTTCATTATAGGGGATATTATGAAGTTGAGAGCTATGTAGTTAAGTTTTTGAATGCCAGAACGTGTTGGAATGGTTCGCAACGAGATCAAATATTTGCATTTAAGGAGAAATGAAAATAATTTATTCGTTCTTCTTAGCCTCCTGCTCACTGGCTGACTCGGTTGGCTGAACTCCGATTATCGGTTTCTTCTCAACGACTGGGGAAGTCGAAAGGAATGAACATTCCTCGAAGACGCGGAAAAATTGACGGTGAATACCACCTAAAAATATTAATTGTAATTAGTTCATAATGATTTAGAATTGCTACCCTGCCCATCAACCAAAGTGTGATAACACATGTTGCCAGCAACGCAGAAACCCTTCAAAGTAAGCGCCCACCAAACGACCTCGCCACTCATTGTCGCCATAACTTAATCATTATAATAAGTTTAATTGGTATATCGAACTATTTACCGGTGAATTGGGCCATGTGTAGGGCAGCAGTGACCAAAAGCAAAGTAGCGATTTCTGCACGGGTCTCACGTTGTTGTAGGACATATCTATACCTTTGATTAAACTTAATAGTTTCAGGAAGTAATTCAATTACTTGAAGAATGTTCCGAACGCGAACATCATGATACCGTACAATCGAGCAAATCTGTATGATTCTGCAGTAGACAATCCGGTGCCAAATTCGGCGAAAGAACCATAATACGGGATGAAAACAAACTGTAAAAAAAAAACAGGAAAAATGATATCTCCAGTATTTCAAACCAATGCTCCGAGCATCAAAAAGTAAAGAGTGTTGAAAGAGTTCCAGTAAAGCATACCACGCGGAAGGCGGACGTATAAGCTTTCGTTAATTCCAAGCAATTGAGAAATCTAAATCTGCTTTTGAATAAGATCAAGAGCTTTTCGTACCTTGGACTTGTAGACTTCGCCATTGTCTCCGGCAAGCTCGCCAACTCCAAGAAGTTTTCGAGTTTTGAGACGGCTTTGTAGATCGCTGGCGGATTGTTTCCTACTAACAACATTTGGATCATCAACTGGGCTGATTCGTGCAATTTTATCGTCATTAATGTTCAAACTATTTGTACTGTCTAGCTTAGTGCTGTCTTCAATGCTGAGTGTGCTTACGTCACATTCGATAGCCGATGCCATTATTTTACATTTCCTGGTAGTAGCAAATTTCTTCTGTCCATGAAAATTAATTTTTTCGATAATGTCACATAAAGAAATAATGATAGGAAGAAGCGTAACAAAGTCAGAGGAAACGAGATCATCGAAAAAGAAAACAACAATGCAGTTCTTTTTCATGATGAACAAGGCATTAGGAAATTAGAATTGCACACAAAGAAAGAGAGCTTTTTCTATTTTCTCCATGCTTCTAATTAAAAGAGGTTTCTTTATTTAATCAGATCTAAACACTGAGCATATTTCATGAGTTTTGTTGATGATCTGGCTTCCTCGTATTAATGCTCCGAGAAACTAAAAAGTAGTACTGCAAACATTTTTAACCGGCAGCGCTTTGAAAAGATTAAAAATACAATTAACTGGTAAAACTTCGACTTATTATAACTTTCTGACCTAATTTTTCATATGTACCTGAAGAGTTTTTCAACAATTAGCTCAAAGATATAAGTACAAACACCAGCAGTAAAGTGTAAGTAAGCCAAATATATTATATACCAAATGATTTCTATGGTATATTTTTCAAGAAAAAAAAATATATAACGAAAATAATGCTGCTTTGTTCAAAAAAATTGAAAATATGATAATATCGAAGGCTAAACAAGAAAAATAGAATTTTAAGAATTCGAACAGCTTGAATAAATTTTATTTATGTCAGTTTCTAATTTGTCTTGCATGCAAAATAAAGTGACGTTAATTATTATTTACGAGATAATTTAATCTGAGAATTTCAATGAAAGGAAAACGGGATCAGACATCGACGGAACCTATTTCTTTAGAAATTCTCCAATTGAATTCGCAGAACATGCAATTTTCAATTCAATGGAAGAATAATAAACGTTCTTCGAATGCCTTACGCTGCTTTGGAAATAGAAATAACAAAAGTAAAATAAAATATATTTATTGTTTTTTTAAGACTACAAACATTTTTTCCACGGCTACACTTTTTCCCGCGATACTGAAAGTATGAATTACCCTAGACGTCATAAGCATTTACGCAGACGACGTATTCGTGTTTAATCGATGGAGTTGTTGGGCATTTTTGACACATGAATGAAAGGTCTATGTTTATTCTAAAATATTGTGAATATCTTGATGATTGTCAGGGATTATTGTTTATAGCCGGCACCCGCTGACGCAGGTTTCAATTATGCACTGGCTTTTCTCTTCTGTTTTCAATTTCTAAGGATGGCTGACAGGCTTCGTATCGCAAAACAAAACAATTCCTATAACATTTTCAGAAGTTGTATTTCTACAGATGAAAAAAAAGAAAGAAATCAGTGTAATCTTCCTAGCTTTCGTTGAATTTAAGCCAATGGAAAGTCGAGATGTATTACTTTTTGTAAAACTAAAAGCGTAAATATATTTTATCGATAAACTATGAGAAGAATGCATAAAGAACTCAAGAGAAAGTCAGTGTTGGTTTAAACGCAGTATTATAAATATGGGCATTATAAAACCAATGAAAGAAATAGATTTTCTAAAATAATTGAGTTTGGGAGAAGCGAGGTGGGAGAGGAGCACCACAATCGTTTATTCGCATTTTTGTGGAAAACGTTAATTGATTCAAAAGTGGAGTTTCTGAAGAGTCGAAAAAAAAGCGACAATAACATGCTGGCCCGACTACTTGCCTAGTAAATCGGTGTGAATAAAAATAAGTTTGGAATAGTAAGATTGAGCGTCTGCAAGGTAAGAGAAACCAGTTGCCTAGTAACAATGACATGTGGAAACTTTTATTTTCATATTGAAATTGAACTTCTGACATTTATTCTTAGAGATTTGAAACATGGTTAAGCACAACCAGCTACAAAACAGTTTGAAATAAAATCTCAGTTAAACAAATAATAATTAAATTTAATCTTCTCCTTCTATTAAAATATCAATTTTGCAGATCGAATTCATTTTAGAATTAACTGTAACGAGATATTTGCATTTAAACCAAATCAGATTTTCATACTTAGAAATTGTGGTATGTTTACCTTTTATGATACTATGTATCGCTTAACTTGCCTTACCTATAATTTTTATCTGGAAATAATAAACACTTACACCATATTCTTGAATGTACCTAAGCTTTAGAATGCTTGGCCTATCACAATGTTGACTTTCAAGGAGTTCTGATAAAAATTGTTGTTCTACGAATGCCCCAATCTTAATAAGTGGGTGTTGTAGCGATGGAATATAATTTAAACCCTTGTTTTTTGTATTCGAATCACGCTGACAATAAAACAAACAACCTTCACGGATGACAACGTATCAACAACCCATAGAAATTACTACTTGCGCTCTGTTTTTTGCAGATAAACGAGGTTGCCTTTAGGAATTGGCGCAATGTATATTTTATTATTAAACGCGGTGAAAAAGAAAATATGTAATAAAAATACTATTTTTCAAAGAAATTCAAGAAATTGAGCTTACTGAATTTTGAAACGTTGATTTGCATTCAAAGAGGTTGAATTGTAAAGCCTCCAGCAAACCTAATTTGTTAGATTGAAAGAATTGAAAACAGGATTTCCCAATGAAGCAGAACAATTCTCTATTCAAGAATGTTGTTATTTTAAGGCAAAATTTTTTTTAGAATTGATTCATATTCACGTTTATACAAATAAATAAATACATATATACATATACATACATGTATACATGCAAATGTACAATGTCACCGTTTTGATACATTTCTTTGTATACATCACTTTATTGGCAAATCGTTACAATGTTTGAATCCGAATTACACAAGTTTACTAAATTATGTAATTATACTACATCGTTTTGCTAATTATATGTATATTCATTAATACTTAATGAAACTGTTATATCCCATACGAATAATCATTCAATGTCAAAAATACAACTTAAACTTAATTTCATGAACAAAACGTTTTTAGGTAATAAATATTTAGAAGGTATTTTTTGAAAAAAATTTGATTGTGAAATATGTTTTATTTGGTTCATAGTCGGATCGAACTTGCCCAAAAAAGTTGAGTTTCAGTAAAAACCCATTTGGTTAATTTTGAAAAGTATGCACAGAGAAAGAGTTGAATTTTATGATGCTCTAAAGATATCCCATCTTAGTTTCTATCGTGGAATTAAATGCATTTTATTTTCACGAAGTTCGTCACAGGAGATTTTGTAGGTTGGATAACATTCACCCATTCATTGTTTTTGTTCGTTTAAACTATTTTTCTAGTTTTACAACCATTTCCGAAACCACGTAAAAAACGTCCACCTTCACAATTTTGTGGTTTACAGCTATATAAGAGAACACCCAATTATTGACAATAAGTTCCCATTTATACATATATATTTTTTTTCATACTTGACATTAAGTATTTCTATATTTTCTACGTCAAAAACTTATTATAAATTTTAAAATCTTACCAAACCATTAAACAAGAAGTGGGATGTTGAATGGTATGCGAAAATGAAATGAAATATTCTCCATATTACTCTCCCCGTTAATTAATATCAATGAGTAACACCAAAAAAATGAATTTTTTTGCCATTTCCATGAACATACAATTGACTAATTGGCAATGAATCAGCTTTTTAAAATCGAAAAAAAATATTTTGGAAAAATTATAAGAAATCACACATACAAACTTTCACAGAATGAGGGTGCATGAAATGAATAGGTAAATTTGAGCTATTTAATGATACATGGCTGGCTCATCTGACTACAAAACTTGTAAGAATCTATTATATTATTCGTTTCCAGACAAAAAACACAAAAAAAGAAATTTCAAAAAACAATTCGCGTTGAAAATATTAAACATATTGTGATTGTTCACTAAAAAAAAATTATAAACAAAACCACTTACACCTTGAATATCTCCCATCATAATGCAAAATTATAGAGCCAACATTATAAAAACATTTTTTAAATTAATGAAGATTATCGCAAAACACATATCTTATTGTCGATATCTTATGTAAAAAATGGGCCGAACATTAGATATCCCTAATCATATGCGGATAATAGAAAATATCTGTTTTAAGCTTATATCGGATATTTATTAATAAAATAGTTAAAAAAAAATATATATATACGTATTGTGTTTCTCGAAATATCTGTAACATTAATATAACAGACTATTTCTATAATTCAATTGCTAAATATGATATGTTTTATAATTCAAAAAGATTTGAAGATTATCTATCTGACATATCCTTATCGTAGTTTTTTTTGACAACTCACACATTTTCTATTTATTTATTTCTTCGAATACTTTCCAATAATATTCATACAATCCTCAAGAAACCAAAAAATTAAATTGGAGTACGTCTATAAAGTGACATAATTCATTAGCAATCTAGCGCGTGGTTTTTTAGAGGCCTTGTGTCTAAATTCGAAAATTCTCCAATTTCAAAAAAAACTGTTTGAATATTCACAAAAACCATTGTTCTTTCTTCCAAAATGCGTTGTTTCTATTCATAAATATTAACATCCGAAAAATGTATGAATAATGATATTCTTCGTGAAAATTATTTTGTCAGTATACCTATCTTCCGTGAATCGGTGTCTCAATGGTCTTGGTGACGGCTGAGTAGTCGTTGATGCTTCATTCATGACCTTAAAACAATTTATGCTATTCAGAATATTGGGAGTAAGTTAATTGGAGTATGTAGTAACGTAAAGTCATCATATAGACTTCAGCTGGATACATAAAATGTGCAATGTATACAAATGTGAGAATGGGATATGCAATTGCAAGGAGAGAATTTGGAGAATAATGTATGGAATTGACTATTATAAAAATAAAATATTTAAATGTGTTATTCTATATTGAAAGAAATGTAGGAAAATAGGAATGCAGAATTGAGCAAACACGAAAAACACGAAAATTCAGAAAAAAAAAGATTTTTTAAACATTTGACTACACATGAAGCAACTCTATGTGATCGCTTACACTTTGGCATCCGATATAAAATAGCGCAAGGGTCTCAAAAGTTCAATGGTTTTATGCGATCGT